ACAGAAAATAGAACTATTATTTTCTTTATTTCCCCTTTATAACTTTATATCCGAGTTTCATAGCATTTCTGTGACAAGAATTTTGCAAAAGATGACCACTTTTTGCTGTTTCGAAAATGAATAAAAAAAGTTGTCTTTTATGTGGAAATTTCATCAGCATCTACATAATAAACAGAACATTACATGGCCGCCTGGGGATACGAATTTTATCTTCGAGTGCTGAAAGTATCTCTCACTCGTTCGCTGCGCTCACTCGTGAGAGATACTTTCAGCACTCGAAGATAAAATTCGTATCCCCAGGCGGCCATGTAATGTTCTGTTTATTATGTAGATGCTGATGAAATTTCCACATAAAAGACAATTTTTTTTATTCATTTTCTAAACAGCAATTGGGTAATTATGTTGGTAACCATGGCCACGCCAATATCCTCACACGTGAAAGATAAAAATAGTATCTTCACTGCGCGCGGTGAAGATATGATTTTTTAGTAAAAGGAGAAATCCTGGTATTTCATCAGTATCTATATAATAAACATATATACATAAAGAAACTATATATATATATATATATATATAAAGAAACTGAAAACTTCTGTATCGAATGAAGATACTATAACTAATGAAAAACGAAAGTCTTGCGGGATTGGCCACTCAGTTCACTATTTTTCCATTTTACAAGATTCTCAGCCCCTCCGAGGTTATGAGAAAGAATAAAGAGAGGTTTTTTATTTCGAAATATAAACCCGTTCTTAATGATTTGAAATTACGCTAATTGCTCGCGCGCGCTTCGAATTACGATAGCCATTATTATTGTAATTATGATCAGATCTGTGATGTAATAAGTCATTAAACATACTTTGCTATGCCTGTAGAGCCGAAACAGCGGTAAAACGCGTAGCCCAAAAGCAATGTAAGAGAAAACTTTCGTTTTTCACTGGTTTTAGTATATATACATATATAGGAGGTCTGCGTTTCGATTTTTCCGTATTACAGTGATCGGTACATGAAAGTAGAGCGCAATATATGTTGAGTTAGAAAAATACAAAGACTACGCTTTCATCGTAGTCTATGTAATATTCTAACTGAAAATATATATTTAAATGTAACAGGGTTTACAATTTGGCGAAAATGATGATATAAAGAAGCAGATACATTATGGACAATCTGGGCTAAGCGCAACTAATTCCAACTTTATCTTTCTTCTTGAAACATTGAATAGATGCATGGTGAGTTCTCGTCTGATCGGTAAGACTGTTCCATGACGATACTGTACTAAGTTATAGGGGAACTATCCAGCCTCCCCAAATAGCTGAAGATAAGTTTGTAAAACATGACAGTTGCAAAACTTATCCATGTATTTTTGTTAACACGATGAGGCCAAAACTACAGGCTTTGATAATTTCTTTAGTTAAGCTGAACAGGAGAAAGCTGCACAGAAACGTAGAGCAAGGTCAAGAATGGTTCACAACATGTTCAAAATGTTGAGCTTGGTTGTTCCCAGTTCTTATTAGTCCCGAACTTATGACAATTTTCTTCTCATCAGAGTACTAAATGAAGAGTACTAAATTCCACTTGAAGCAAAATCTGCCACTAGTGAAAAATTCCGAACTCATTTTCTTTTAATGTTTTTCAAATTGCGTAAGCTTGAGGTTCGTCTGGTGGCTGTCCTTTACATTTCGTCAGTTCGAAGATTTTCGGTGTTTAGAATTATGAAATATGGTAATTTTTCGCTTGAAAATGAATTCCAGCTACATTATACAACGATCTTATTGGGTTCTATGAAAAATTTATTATCAAAAGAAGAGTTTTTGACTCAAACAACAATTGATGTGTTCAAACTTAAATAGATGCCCTGAAGGGAAAGCATATTGTGATCGCTTTGTTTCAGAGAAAACATGGGCTTGCATGTCAAAACGAAATTCAAAACTCATCTCCTGAATGATACAAAGAAAGAACCTGTATAAGTGCAAGTATGCTATTGCAATTTGATATGTATCAATAAATTGTCGACTTCGTAATATATTCTGCGAAATAATTATATTTATTGAAATTATGAGCATGCTTCACGCGTCTTTTTTCATTATTGTTGTCAAAAGCGTGGTGTTTAATTTCCATTGATTTGATGGCATCGGCAAACATTAGAACTTCAGCTCAGCATGATAATGACTTGTAAAATAGCAAGGGTAAGGTCTTGTTTTAGTTTCTTTTTCCTGTTAATAAAGAACTATAAAGAAAATTGGAGCGAAGCCCGGACAAGCAGTCTCTAGTATTTCAAAGCCTTCTTCGACGATAAATACCAAAAGTTTCATTGAATTATCGCAATATTACGGCCCCCTCGTATGTTTATTTTCCTTGTTTAATTTTCAGCTCAGAGAAATGTGCGACTTCAAGCCGTAGTTTTAATGACGAGAAATAAATAACACGAGCGGCTCAGAAAGCTGCTAATTCAAACCTAACCTCACAAGACGTTTTAAAATCGAAAGTCTGAATATTATGTTATTCCATTAGGCTCAAATACGATGATATCTAAAGAAAAACTCCTAATGATTTAAAATGAATGCAACTGGGAGGTAGACCTAAGAACGTATTTTGAAACAATTTACTTAATTAAAGCACCTACAAGGTGACGAGTGTCACGATGATTTCAAGACAGAAAGAAATTGTAAATTCATCAAAAAAAAGCAAAGAACACGTCCATTACCCACCTGTGTGAAGGTCTTCGCAACCAATATCACTAGAAGAGAGGCCGTATGAGTTCTGAAAAACAATGTCAGTCAGAGAGATATTTTAACAGGATCTTAGTCAGTCTCTGGGCAAACGCGCTCGCCACATAGTCTAACTTGCCTTTGTTTGAAGAAAAATAATGAGGAAGATGAATCTACAGTTCTTCATTGCGCCTTTCATGCACAGCAATAACCTAAGAACAAAAAAACCTGTTTATTAATCTGCATATGCCGCCGACTTAAATACAAACAACTTATTGGAAAACTCATTAGGAAAGTCATGAATTTTAATTTTAACATGAGCAGGCAAATCGACGTTTGTATAAATTCGCTAGTTTATCTAATAGCTCCAAGTCTACGTAGGAATTTAGACCGAGCCCTACGAAACTATAATATTACAGAATTCAGCAGGTGCACTGGTCTATGTTTATTACTGACGTCGTTTAGGAAGAATCTACTGTTTCCTACAGAGATATGGGAACGGTAAAGTAAGAAACAAATATTGAACTTTTTAATATTCTGCAGGTGAATTACAACTGAAAGGGTATTACATCAACACTGGACTGCAAATAGTTTCTGTCAATGGAAACCGTCGGGGGATAAGAAAAACTTTTCAAGACAGTGTTCTTTATTAGAGTAGTTTTAAATAAAAACTGAGACGATTTCAAATACAAACAAAACATAGAGAATATTGTGTTGAGCCTTTGAAAAAAGAAATCATTACTGTAAAGGTGGTTTAAAAACAATGGTGAGTACTCTGGTTTTCTCAATATGCCTGTTGCACTTGCGAATACACCTTTTTTACCGAAGTAGGAAGTTATCTTTCAATGATATCCGGATTTAAAGAATTGTGGTAGAGGAGAGCTAATGAAACTTTTTGAAGTAGAGTTTAGAGGGAAAGCGGCCGCAAAACGTGTTTAAGTTATATTCTAGAGATGTTCGATATTTTAACCGGTGATTGTTGTAAGATAAAAAAACCAAAAAAGCAAAACAAAGCTGCAATCTCAATTAAAATCAAAATGCCCGTGGCATATTGTTGTTCACAGTTTACCTTTATGTGTATTGGTCAGAATACGATTAGCATACAAAATCAACTGTGATCCTTCCCTAAATTTTGTTTGTTGTTACCTTGAGCAGAAGGGAATTACTTCCATAATATGAGAGAGGAAGATCAACCTTCCGCCGGTCATCTCAAATTCTACACCCTCCTTTCTCAAAAGAAAAAGCCGTTAAATTATTTCAAATTAGGAGAAAATACAAGAGTCACTTGGTCGCGTTAATATGGCCTTCATCAACGCCGTGCATTCGACCTTTTTGTTTTGAAGCGTTGTGTGTAATATTCAATTTTTAAAAACCTGCTCGGAAGTGGTTCCATGTCTTCCTTTTTCATCTAATTATCATCTCATTACTGGATGTAAAACCTCCATGACAACAGGGGGGCTGTTGATGAAACTCACCTGAATGTGTTGTTTCATATGCGCACAGCGGTGAAATAATAGTTACGTTTTCCTTGAATTTGCTCAACGATATTCGCATGAATGAGAGAATACGAGACCCTAAGAGTTGGCTATTAATTTAAGTCTATGATATTTCGGCCGAAAACATGCCTTGGTGGATCCTATCTCTCGTCATGCCTTGGTGGATCCTATCTCTCGTCTAAAAAGCAAATTATGGTGTCCGAGGAAAGTAACGTAACGTTTGAATTAAGCTGGTGAAACTAACATGTTCACAAGATTGTTTTGAGAAAATAATAGCGCTCGATTTTGCCATGTTTTTTTTTTAAGCAAAAGCGGTACGTTAGTAATCGGAAAACCTCATGCCTTCGATAAAGGTTCAAATTTAAGGGAAAGTATGACTGCATGATTTTTTTTTATCTTAAACCAGCTGTCAGTTTTGTGCTTTTACTAATTCCGACATGAAGCTCCACGTCACATCACTCTGGCTTGAAGTATATTCTTTTCCATGATTACATCACTTAAGTAAACGACCATTTTTCATGTCCTTAATAAGAAAAACAGATATTTAGATATGACCAAGCGGACGAAAAAAAGAGAGAGAGAGTAATATATATATTACTAACGTATCGCTTTTGCGGCGTTGTACTATTCACAAATTCTTAGACGATAATCACTGTCAAACAAACCTTACTGATACTTTTACGTACAGTGTCACCGAGGTATAATATAGCATATCCAGCCAGAATGTTTCCTTCACCCCAGGGTTCAATTCTTTCAATTGTTTCCATTCATTGATCCTTAAATTCGATGGATACGTCTCTAACAACAACAACAAAATAGGTCACTGATCGCAGATTTGTTCTTCATTTGCATTAATAGTTCTTTCTTGCAATTTGGCATGGTAAAATGCACGTTATTTAAGATGAATTATCGCCTAAAAAATTTTGATCTTAAACTACTTAAGCTTTCCACGTTAGATACAATGAAATATATGAAGTTCATATATTTTGAACTGCGGTATTAGATACGTATAATGCAAGATCCTCGCAGTAGATAGCGCTATTTAAGCAATAGCGAAAATCAGACCTGAAAAAGACCCGTACAGGCCTGATTTTTTTCAGGTCTGATTTTCGCTGTTGCTTAAACAGCGCTATCTACTGCAAGGATCGTGCATCATACCTTTCCACGTTAAGTAGTTTGGAGCGAGGGCAAATGCCGTCTGGATCTTTCTGCGGATTTTGAACAGCTATTGAAGGACTAATGTCGTCTGCTTAAACATGTAAATAGTTTGGAATCACAAATGTGACAGAAGGTTTTGAAGCTCTCTTTCTTAATTAAGCGAAACCATGCTGGAAACCAATCGTGCTTTGTTTCTTTGTGGCACACAATTGATTAAATCAAGGTTTGTGAATGCATAAAATTGGACAAAACCTTTCGATTTCATAATTGCTAAGCGTCTGCCCTTAAAAAAAGCTGCAATTTGCAGAAGGTGTTCATCTTGGATAGACCAGCATAAGTTGAGGGATGAGTAGACGGGGTGCAATCTGGCTTATAAGACCTAACCTTCAACTCTAACAAAGTGGGAGCACGGTCAGTCCTTACGAAAATGAAGTGGAAAGTCGATGTGAAGCAAAGGTGGATAAATTTATGTTGCATACTTAGTGCATTTTTACGCGAGGAATCAATCCTTTTTTCAAATTGCTTTTTCTTAAAACACTACAGGGCACTTAACCTTTAATTCATCTCAACTGGTGCAATAAAAGGCAATGGTGACTTAACGATTCGCAACTTTAACAAAGATCAGTGAACGGCTAATGCCATTTGAGAAAAATAGTGTGGGTTGGAGATAATCTCTCCCGTCCATGGGATGGACATCAAGCGAAGTCTGTGTTTGTGCATACACATGGGGCTAAAAGAAAAAGATTCGAGCTTTATGCAAAAGTGAAGACAAGCGACCAGAAAAAGGCTCTTCACTACATGAACAATAGACTATACGTGTAGTTAGGTTCCGGCCATAAAGTTATGGGACAAAAACTTAATTTCTATGAAGGTGTAAAGAGAGTAATATTGGATTTTGAGGATGAATATTTATTTTGTGATGTCTACTTCTCAATGTGACAGACGATTTTTTATGTGTGGTGATCTTATGGACACGGGAAACAAAAATAGATGTTTTTTTTCTTCTTCTTCCTCTTTTTTGCCTGAGGTACTTATTTATTCATGAATTTTTTGTTTTTTTTTGGCGTACCCTGAATTCATTTCAAATGTCTGAAAAAGTTGAATTTTCGCTGCTAAGAAATATCTTTTTCGCCGGACGGCTCCTAATTCATCTTAATGGATTTTTCCCCACACTTAAAAAGGCAGTAGTCTGTAATTTCTTCGAATAGACCATTTTGTAAGAAATCTATCCTGCATGATTCTGTACTTTTTTACTTGATTGGTATCAATACAAAAGAAATTTTACTACTGTCCTCTAGGCAAGCAGTAAATAACGAATATTCGCAGTTGATACGTTATGCTATAAAATGATCTTGTCACACACATTTGTTCCAAGTCATGATGTAGCAATTAATTATCTTACTTCGGTGTTTGAAAGTAAAATCTTTCGGCGCAGCACGACGTAAAATTGTTTGCAAGCAGCAGGGGCCGATCTATGAACAAATGAAATCGCCTAAGGATGAAAAAACCATGGCTTACCTTCCTTCCGATGAAAAATGAAAATTTACAATTGTTGGCATTAGTTTTGCTTTTTTAGTATCATGTGCAGTCAGATAATCACGATGTTCGCTAAAGCTTAACATGATGATTCATGTCTGCAATCGCCAGCATCCTTTTTAGCTTTTCACGAGACCAGTGATGAATATTAAAATGATGCAAAGACCAAACAAATACTGCAGACTGAATAAACATGCAATTAGAAATAACCAATTGAAGCTTTCGAGGAGACACTCGACCGCACTCCTAAATTGACTTTTTCTTTTCTATTTTTATGGCTTGTGATTTTAATTAAACAGCGGGTAGCTCTCAAACTATTGAACGAGGAACCTATTAATTTTTTCCTTGTTTTCGAGAAATATCATTGCCTTTACAAGTAGATGTTTTAACAACTTGTCCGGAGATATCGTCCAAAACGTCCTGGATCCTTTTTAAGACTTTAGGTGAATTAACACTCACATGTCACTGAACATCAAAGTTAAAAGGCAAGCCATAATAATAAGTGAATCTGTGTTTACCAAGCTTTTAGTTACCTAAAATTTTTCGTTTTACATGTTCAACTTTAATGAAGTTCTTTCATTGCCTCCCAAGTGAAAAACGAATCGTCTTAATTCATATATTTGTTGTCAAAGATCACAAAATAGTTTTTCACTGCAGCATTTTAGTAGAGCCATCTTGAAGGTACATGTACGTCTATGACAATGAAGGATAACAGAAAAGGAAAAGGGGAACACTATGAAAAACATTTACACTTGGCATTCATACCCAAGGCCGTGTTTTCTTGGGGTAAGAAACTACTTCTGGAACCCTTGTTCTGCATTTCTGATATTTAATGTAGGCTTTGTCAAATAAAAAAAATCAAATACTTTCGGTTCAAACTAGTGAGAAGATCAGAGGGATTTATCCATTTCGTGGGATGTGTAGGGTAAAGCTATTTGGGTAAACATCTATTGAAGAGTATCACGGTTCCCATCTTTCAATGTGGGGAGGAAAGTTCGCAGGACTGAAAATAGATAATGTAGACAGTGAGAGTGAACCTTCTAGATAAAGAGACTGATGTTCGTTTTTTAGTTTCAAGAAGGTAAAAATAATGCGATTCGGCAGTTTTAATTGTTATCCCTGTCACGTTTATGTCCCTGACCACCCAAAAAAAGGCATTCTCAATCTTGTTTCATGGAAATGTATTGACGGCACTACACCTTTCAAGTTTTAATTTTGATGAACAGACTGGATAGAGAAATTTAAAAAAAAGATAGGTGTAAATCAATCATAAAAAAATAAATAAAAGGGAAGAAAAACACTGCTCATCATGAATATTTTATTCTCTTTAGTCACTTTTCGTTACTGATTTGAGGGGTTGTTCTATACTCTTCACTTGCGCTATGGTGGTTCTCACCTTATGGACTGTCATATACGCGTGCTAACAGGCACACGGTAATGTTAAAAATTGAAAATTTCACATGCCTTCGTGACGACGACTCTGATTTATACTACATTCGTTATATCTACCCTCATGGATATGTTTTTCGTCATGCACCTAGATTACATTCTACTGGTGGAGGAGTTGGTGTTGTCCTAAAGAATAATTTCAAGGTTCTGAGTCAAGCGCTTGAGACCTATCGCTCATTCGAGCACCTTGAGCTAGACCTCAAGGCTACGAACTGCTTTGCCTGTTAAGTTGTCTTATATCGTCCTCCCTCGTCAAGCTGATTATCTTGGCCATATAAAAACTGCTCTGGGCTACTCCTTAATGATTGGCGAGTTCAATGGTCATTTTGACTCTCATGATACAAATAGTCGACGCTCCAAGAATGTCCTTCAATTATTTGATCTCGCTCAGCATGTTCATGGTGCCACACACAAGAATGGTCAGACACTCGATCTTGTTATTACTAGAGATGGTGAAGATTTTGTCAGGAATCTGGTAATTTAATTCGCCACTTGATCAAGATTTATCAAAAGTTATTGATCTATTCAATTCCACTCTTCAATCCAGAATTGATCATCATGCACCGTTTTTCGCCGATCCGTTACCCTTCGCCACCGTGCTCGGTAGTTTACGAATGAAATTAAGGCTGCTAAGAGATAGAAGAGAAGGCAGGAAAGAGAATAACGTACCGGATGTAAATGACTTACCTCAAAATGCGAAAGAGACCTACCACTCATCAATAACTGAGGCCAATCATAGAAACCAGCAAATGTTATTTCAAGTGGTTAATACTTTGTCCTACAAAAAACCTCTAGCGCGTTATCCTTCTGCGAGTTCTGACTCTGCTTTAGTCGAACATTTCAAGTCTTTCTTTTCCGACAAGATACCCCTTTATCGTTACCCTGTGTCCCTGAAAACTTGTGACCTTCCTACGCGTTTCTACTGAATATATGGCTCATCTGATTAAATTAATCAAAGTTAAAACTTGTGCTCTTGATTCTCTGCCAGCTTCTGTCTTAACGAAATGTTTGCCTACTTTGTTGCCAGTAATTACCGTTATAACCCATCCATTAATTTTGGCGCGATGTTATTGGTTACTTTACGTCACGTGGTGCAAAATCACAGGACAGTTATCACGCAATAACCCCCGTCCGCGTCGATATTTGTCCTCCGATTTTTTCCGTGAAAAAGAAACATAGTTAACACAAGAGTTTCAACTTTTCCGTTCTCCTGTTTACATGGAAGAAAACTANGCGTGAATGGAACTAGTTACACCAGGTCTGATCTAATGTATGGTGTTCTCCAAAGTTCTGTTCTGCTTGAATTGATCTTCTTCACCCAATGCTATGCTTTTTAGCAAAACTAAACATTCCTTGCATAACTCGATTGCTTGTAGATCACGTTCGGTCTTGTGCATGAATTTAGCAACAGAACTACCTATACGGATGGTTTGTTTGAATTTTTCCCTCTTGTTCATTATGGTTCCCTCGTGTAAGTTTTGGAGGATCCTCTCTAAAATTAGAGAATTTTGAAAAACTATTCAGTTGCAAAAAACTTGAGAATTCAACATTCATGTCAGTTTTTTACATATACAAAAACCTCATCAATTAAGCATTTAATATTCTTAAGCCATAAAAAATTTGATATACATTTTTCTGGCTTAACAACTGAAATACCAGTAACAGTATCACGTTTTAAAGTTTTTCTGTACTCGTGTATTGGATGTGTAGTAGCACTACATTCTATCCAATTTGGAAAAAATTGGACGAGGCCTTAAGCCGAGTCCAATTTGACAGTGAGAGGAATTCTTTTAATCCAATTATGTCACGGTTCTCTGCAATCGTGTTGCAATGTGGCTCGCGAATCATCATCGAAAAATTAGGGCTTTACAAATCAATGGATTCCCCTTCTATTGATTCCTTCTTCTTCTGAATCCAGGCAGTTCATGCAATTCCAAGCATTTTAGTTTGCGTGTTACAGTGTGACTGTTATCGACAACAGAAATCGAGCGCGAATCGTAAGCTTTTCAAAAATATCAAATGGAAGTATATGTTATAAGATGGCAACGCCATTGAAAACACTATTAGCCGTTCTTTGGTATGTATTGCATTGCTGCTCCCAGGAGTCATTAGTTTGGAGTGTAACATCCATTGAAAACATACTAGCATTTCTTCAGTACGTCACGCAGCACTGCCCCCTGGAGTTATTATTTTGGGGTGTAACGTCCATACTGGACAGAATATGCAAAAATAACAAGTCCAAAAACTTTCTCACCATCAAAATTCTTTGCACCTTCCTTGTCACATCACGTTCTGTGGAATTGCAAACAAGTAAACATTAACTACACAGATTTATCAGTGTAAATTCGTGGTAAATGTCCTGATCGTGTGACTAAATGAAAACCGGATGGCGAAAACCTAAAATTGAATTTTTTACGTGAATCAAGATTAAACTACGCCATAGCGTCGTTGATAACTCAAGAAAATCTCGATCATTAAAGACTCATAAGGAGTTGATTAATGTTTTTCACCAATAAAGAGGGTCTCAATGAAAATGGTCACGTAACTCAAGTTGACGGTTTACTGTTAAGAATAAGCCCTTTTGACGATTCACGGTTAAATTTTAGATCATTTGACGGTTGACGGTTATTTTATTGGAATGTCGTTTCTAAAACGAACTATTAAACGAACCTTTTAAACTCCTCCAAAACTTTTCGAACTCGAAGGAATCAAATCACACCACTGGAAAATGAAAACAGTTGACTCTGGGCTAAACAGAACTATCAGCCACGGAGTACTTTATAGCGTTGGAGACATAAACATGCTGTTTTAAAGCGACCGAGAAACCGAATGAAAAAACTGAAATGGTATCTTTCCTTCAAAAGAACATTACAAACAGCAAGAGATCGGAAAAAAGATAAACCTGACCGATCAAATAAATGACTAGGTTGGATAAAATTCGGAGACTCATTACAGGTTTAAAAGAGTTTATTTTCATATCGTTTCTATATGTAACGTTTTAAGCAAAAGGGAAACTTTTATTTTCTAGCTCCCGGTATGATACAAACAGCTAAGTTTATGTTCATCACTTTTGCGTTTCAGATACCTCTTCTTTTTTATTTATTTATTTTTTGGTTTCTACAATCGTTTGTAAAATTTCTGCTTTATTTGTCAAGTTAATGTTGCTTTGTCTGTAACGCAGAACTATTACCACCTGGTAAGAAATTTCCAATTCGATTTTGGGAATCACTTCTCAAGAGAGTTTCAACCGGCCAACGAGGATATTAAAAGGCGGAAAAAAAGTCACACCATCAAGCCAGCAGGTTGATCTATTCTCATAACTCTTATACTAGATTTTCCGTTCATTTTGTGTGGGTAATATTAATTTTTATCACTTTGGGGTTTAAAGAGTTATTTTGGATACTGAGAAGTATTTTATCGTCAACGTAATTTCTTTGCAGTGCCATTAGTAGATGATCGCACAGAGTTTATCCTAAAATAACGAAATTATCTATATTTGCTTCAGGCTACGTGGACCTATAAATGGGCAATTTTAAAAAAGAGATTACAAAATTTGGTTTTCTCCTATCTTAACCTATCTTGCAATCGTAAAGTTAGAAGGTTTTAGTGGACGAAACATTTGCAATGATATCTGATTGAGAAATCGAACGTTACCTCAAACTTCTGTAGATTTTTTCTCACCATCAAAACTGTTTTTCTCGCAAACCAATCCAGTTGTCACCACTGGAAAATGAAAAAATAAGTTAGCATTAATTCTGCAGAACCAACTTGAATTAAGGTACGTGTTACATTTTTGGACATAATGTGTGCACCGTATTTAGTATTTTGATGTTATGACTGGTGAAACCGAAAGAAAATCATTAAATTAGAACGATACTTTCCCTACAAAGAAATTATAATATAGACATGTAGAGTTCTGTAAAAATAATTAAGGCTGAATTCGGGTCTCATTGTAACATAAAGAGGTTTATGTTATACATTTTTTCCAAAAGTAATTTTTTTTTTTGGCGCAGAATGCGGAAAACATTTCCCTATCTTCGTATGACACCTGCGGCTAATTTAGTGTTCGTTACTCTTCAGATTTGCACCTTATTGAATTGGCAGCTCACGTCACTGTCCCATTTTTACGCTGAATAAAAAAGTAAACAATTAATCACTGCCTTTTCCGCAATAGCACAGAAATTTTTTTACGAAGTTTTGAAGCTTATAAAAGATATCAAATCTAATTCTAACAATTGTTTCTCAAGGGCGCGAATGAAATGATAAAAAAAACCACGCCATACTCCTCCAACTTGTATTTCCTTTTTTAATTTTTAATTTCTTGAAGATTCCGGTGGCACCTGTTGGTTTTGCTAGATTTTCCTTTACTACAGCTGGAGGGGAGAATTAAAAATAAGATCTTGGGAGTTAAAGACTTAAAGAGTTTATTTTTATTATCTGAAGCATTTTATCGTCGACGTAATTCCTTCTCAGTACCATTGGTACATGATCACACAAAGTTTATACTACAATGACAAAATTATCTCTATTTGCATCAGGCTACGTGGACCTATAAATGAGCAGTTTTAAAAGAGAGATTGCAAAATTTCGTTTTCTCCTATCTTGACATATCTTAAAGCGTAAATTTAGAAGGTTCTAGGGCACAAAATATTTTCATGATATCTGGATGAGAAATCGTACGTAACCTCAAACTCTTGAGGAGCTTTTTCTTACCACCAAAACTATTTTTCTCGCAAACCGATCCAACCATTACTACTGGAAAATGAAAAAAAAAAAGCTTTCATTAATTATGCGGAACCAACTTGAATTAAGGTACATGTTACATTTTCGGAGACATGTGCGCGCCGCATTTAGTGTTTTGATGCTATGACTGGTGAAACCGAAGGAAAATCATTACATTGAAGCGATACTTTCCCTACAAAAAAATTATAATACAGACATGTAGAGAACGGTAAAAAAATTAGGGCTGAACTCGGGTCTCATTGTAAATTAAAGAGGTATATGTTATATATTTTTTCCAAGAGCATTTTTTTTAGCGTAGAATGCGGAAAACATTTCGCAATCTTCGTATGAAACATGTTGTCGGAAATGTTTTTTCTGACAATATACTCACGACTCACTTTCAATTGAATAAACTGAACAATTTTATTCCGACTTCTCTAAGTTTTCCAACTCTCTCTCTCTATGTGCTTTTTTCTTTTATCCCATAATGTTTTTTCTTTCGTTCCCAGCCTCCGCGGCTATCCATTCGCTCCGACGAAGGGCTAACGCTCGAAACGTCAGCTTTTGTAATCATTACGGTGGCCAATTTACCATTTCAACTTTGTTGATATATCCAAATTATATCCTAGCTAGGGATGCCTGACTAATCTTACGTTTAAGCATAAACAAACAAATCAATATGGCTTAAACTTAATCTCAACAATGTAGCTAATTTAGTGTTCGTTACTTTTCAGATCTGCTCCTTTAAATAGATCGCTCATGTCACCTTCCCATATTTACGCAGAACAAAAAACAAAACAATTAATCACTGGCTGCTCCGCAGGAATTCTTTTCAAAGTTTTGAAGCTTATAAAAGATGTCAAATCTAATTCCAATATTCGTTTCTCAAGGACTCAAGAAAAGAA